CCAGACCAGTACATACTTGGTGAGAATACCCAGTTTCATGGCAGAATCCACCCTCCACATAAAAGAGGTATAATGAGGTACTGTTAGTCCTCCACAAGATTATGATTGAAACACTACAAGAGTTGAAGCTTCAGTTGAATTGAAATTGTCTGTGCCTAACCTTAAGCCATATCACCATTGTCTGTGCCATGTCAAAGCAGCTAGGTTTTTATGTTCAAGTTAACAAAAAATCCAAGTCTCTTTCTGGAGTAAAACAAAATGCCCATTGCAGACAGTAATTTTAAGGTATTTAAAGGTTTTTAAATCCAGATCAGACTTACAGGTCCAACAGCATAATGCAAATGGTCTTTAGAAGTCTCATTGTGCACTAAAGGATTAGCATTGTTTAGATATTTATAAAGCTTTGTGTTACTTAGGCCAATAAAATATGGAAGTATAGTAAGATATGTTTCTAGGTATTATTTGTGCTGTGAGCGATTTAGTTTCCATTGTACACAGACCTTTGCTTTTCTTGGTTTTTGGCATCCTGAGTAGCAGCCTTCACTATTTTCCTGTATATCATAAGTGTAAGTATTTCATGACGATTAAATGCTAAAATAATGACATCTGTTCTGTTTATCCCAAGCACTTAGTGAGTCATAAGTAGCAGAATGCAATCACAGAACTGTTTCCATTCTGGAAACCCCCTCCTCATATTGAAATGTGGTGGTTTTGCCATTTCCTTCCTTAACATTCCAGCAAAAGCAGTGAATTAACCAGCTCCTTTTTTAAGGAAGTTGCAATTCAATTTGATAATGCAAATCAATTTTGTAAGATAAAGCATTACTTTGGGAACCGTGATGACTCATGCAATGCTGGGGTCTAGAATGGAGCAGCTCAGCTTTGTGGAACAGTGGACTATAAAGTTGAATTAATATTTTGTTTGTTCATTTGGTGACGTTGGGAAGGGGATATTTTCACAGAGCTTGATTTTGGAAGTTAATCCTCCAAAAGTTGGTTGCTTCCCTCAGCAAAGTAATCGGTTTAGTAGATTCCTTGGAAAATTTAATAGGTCTGTGGATGAAATAAGCTGATTACCTTTTCCAATTCCATATTTTAAAGTTTTTTTTAATTAAATGCGTGCAATATTTCAACCAATCTTCAATTTTCATACATCTGCAACATTCTGAAAGTCACCAACTAAAGAACAACAAATTTCAAATGTATATGCCCTTTCACATCGGGAGGACATCCCAAGGCACTGGACAGTCAAAGATTTGTCCCCTCTAAATTTGGATCCTTTAAACTTATCTTTAAATTGATGGTGAGTCTTCATAAATGATCAAAATTTCTTCAATTTTCATATACAGTTTTTGTAATATTCAATATAGGAATGCAAAATTGAATGTGTGAACATATAGGAGTGCAATACTTAGTGTTCCTCTTCACCCCTCCCACCCCCACCATCTGTTTCACAGGCATCCTCCATATTCTGAGCTAAATGTGAGGACGTTAAGTTACTTAAAATTTCTGTCCAAAGAGGGTTAAGGTTCCTCAACGAGGGCACTACCAGAATGAAGTTTTCACCCTGCCTTATTCAGGACCTTGATGTGTATATTTCCAGCATAATACACATTCAGGGCTGATTCCACACAGCAATTTTCCATCTCCCACCCTCAAAAGTGTTCACTTCTAGTGTAGTCCAGAAAAGTGTACTCACAATAAACTAGTGAAAACATTTTTTAAGAAGTGATCTAGCATTCGTGGAGTTCTATAGCTCAGTGGTTAGAGCACTCACCTCGCAAGCGCCTGGGTTCAGTTCTCAGCAGGGCGAAATGTTGGGCAAGTTTCCTTACTCTACACGCCTGATAATAATCCCTCTAGAAAAAAAAACAATAATAAATTGGTCACTTCTGTGAGACACTGCTGTGCGCAATTGGCTGCCGCATATTTTGATATAATCCGCAAATCAAAATTTGCCTACAAATATACAGACAATTCACTTTACAGTATATTCTGTGAAGCATTTGAGACATCTAGAAGATGTGAAAAGCGCTATATCAAAATGCAAGGATTATTATTATTTATTGTTAGTCGATTGGCGGATTGCTTTTCTGGGGGTAATAATTTGCTTAAAAAATATTACTATTTGTGAGATACTGTGGTGCGCAATTGGCTGCTGCATTAAGCCCACAAAATAAACAGTCAATTTGCTTTACAGTATATTCTGTGAAGCACTTATCGAAGACCTGATAAGGTGCTCTATCAAATGCAAGGTTTATTATTATTATTGCTTTGTCTTTGTGCTTGTCACAATACAAGTATAGCTAAAATACTCCCAAGTTCTTACTTTTGTAAAATTTAGCTCCTGTCTGTCAGCTCTTTTGACCATAGAGTTCTAGTACAAGAAGCAGATGCCGGTAGATCATGGTCTAACACTTGTGTTTTAACCTTGATTGTGCAGATTCAAACTAGATGGCAAGAAATTAAAATTCACCGAAGAAATAGTCATAAATTTCAGAGTACTTCATAATAAACTATAGATGTTGATCTAGATCTCTCAAAATATCAAAATACTCGGTACTAATTTTTCAGTGTACATTGTTAAAACATTTGACCAAAATCAATTTCAAAAAGAACATTAGTCCCAAATGCTTTGTTGGATTTTTTAAAAGGAACCTGTTTGAGATCGCCTCCTTAAATGTGCCAAAATAGTGATGCTGTCTCTCTTTAAATATTCCTCTCCTGGCACTAAATTTTCCAAAATTAAAATCCCAGATTGTTAGAGTTGAGGCACAAAGAATCTATCTGCAAAATAATTTTTCCTTTGTTTTTTTTCATGTTTGTGAATTTTTATTTCCTGATTTTTTTTGCACGTAGTTTGCTATCAGTTCTGTTCATATTTACCATAAAGCATCCACTGACTCACATTTTCCAGAGCTTGTTGCTGTGGCTGGTGTCATACAGCAGCTCTTTTGCTGCCATTTTAGACCGTTCACTGCAGTAGTGAAGTGGCCATGGAGGATTAATTTAAGTCTCTTACAACTGATTTCTGGCCCTGTTAAAAATATTATGTAATGGCTGAGTCCGAGTTTGTCTCTTGAATTAAATGTGATTGTCATCTTCAGTTTAGTATATAATAAACTACACTCTGTGGTCAGTTTGATGTAAATATAGTAACTTAATCCAAAGGCCTCTGGATTTATCCCAGGTGGGGTGGGGGGGGCTGCATAGTCCTGAGCAACGGTGTCTAAGAGTGGAGTTTTGGAAAGGCATTATTTGGAACAGTTGTCGACTTGGCTCAGTTGATACCATTCACCACACGCAGTGAGTGAGTTCAAGCCCCAAATTGGCAGTTTTGCTCTATATCAAGATAGATACTTCAGTGCAGCACTGGGGAGCGCTATCCTTTTCACAGATGCCATCTTTCAGATGAAACTTTGAACCAAGGATCCAACTGCCTGTTAAGGTAGAAGTTAAAGATCCCATGGCATTATTCAAAGATGTTAGGGTAATTCTCCTGGCCAACAGTGCTCCAGATTATTTAGCCATGACTGTTTTGGGGATGTTACTGGTGCAAATGACTGCCATGTTTGTCTTAAAAAAAACAGGTAATGTACTCAACACCAATTACCTGTGAAGTGCTTTAAGAGGTTTCAATATAATATGGTGATATAATCTAAGTGCTTTCTTTACTAGGATCATTTATAAAACCTTCAAAATAATCTTAAATTTGGCATGCTAAATTATATTCCCGGGCTGGGCGAAAAGTCAGGCAAGTTTCCTTACTCCACATGCCTCTGTTTACCTTGAAGTAAGTAGGAACCCAGTTGTTAGTCGCTTTCCGGTGGTAACAAAAAAACATTGGTCACTCAATCCATAACTGTTTGTGGAACACTGCTGTGCACAATTGGCTGCCATGTTTCACCCACAAAATATACAATCAATTCACTTTACAATATATTCTGTGAAGGGCTTTGAAATGTCTTGAAGACGTGATAAGGCACTATATCAAATTCAAGGATTATTATAGCTATCACACAGTATACCCCACTTGAATGTTTGGAAAATACTATAGATAGTTGTATCTACCTACTCTCCTCAGACCTCAGGTGATAGCTGGACTGCTGAAGAGATCAGTGATTAGTTTATCACAAACACATGATTTATGTACTTATTTAAAATCTTTCTCCACCTACTCCTTATCGCTTTTCACCTCTTCTGCCCCGCTGTCTGTAGTTAGCTGGCAAGGAAGGTAACTGCAATGTCAACACATGCTAATGCTAAGGTTTTCCCAGCTTTTTTTCCTTTCTTTTCCCAAAGGTACTGACTCATAGCAGGGTGTGGCGCTAAGAGTTCTAGGAAGCCTCTCGAAACCTCATTCATGAGTAAGCATTGGTGGTGAAGAGAGGCATTGTTGCCAAGAGTGGCCAAAGTCTCTTCTTGGATGTCAATCGTTCCATCTGGTGGCCCGAATAAACCATTTGAAACCTGGGAATTGAACTCAGGACTTACTGTAACACTGTTTCACCCCAGAATTATTTGGGGCACCTGTGGATATTTTGTTTCAAAAAGATGCAGTATTTATATATGTGGTATTAATGCAATATGTATGGAAAACAAAAGTGTAGCATGCCTTAAAATATTCTTACAGGAGTATAGTATAGTTCTCAGAACCAAATCTACATGGTGATCTTGATCTATTCATGTACCACATCGGGCATTTCTTGAGCTTTTTGTGGAGAGAAAAAAGCTTAAAATGATATCCGTTAAATGTTTGTGTTAATTTGACATTTTTTGGATTGTGTTGGATAGCATTCAAAGTCAATAAACTAACAGTTATCTTGAAACTAGAAACCTTATATTTTGCTGGTTTCTTCCAGGAAATGTAACCCCTTATAGGTTAAACAATCATCAATTTCTTCCTTTACTGCATGTTTTTGTGATTGTAATACAGAACGTCTGGCCTGTTTTCTTCCACTTTGTCTCAAAGCCCCATTGTCTTTTGTGTATTTTGACAGGGAACCCAGGGATAGCAGGTTACTACAAAACCTTCATGCAGATTCTACACCAGACCATGGACCAGAAGTATCCCGTCTGGGTCATAAGCCATGCAGGTCACTGTGTGCCCCCGGAAAGCATGGAAATGATGGAAGGTACTGTATGCAATTCCAGGATCCTAAAAATAACAGTATATAATTCTACATAGGCCTTATTTAATAAGTATCCAAAGTTGTTTCATTCACACATAAGTCCTTAAATGTAATACAGTTGTTGGCTTTGTGTATTGTGATATTTTTATTAACTGAATTATGCAAGGTTGACACAAGGAGTTCACACAGGGGTCGAAAATGCAGGATTCGCAGCAGGAATTGAATAGAATTCTTAAATATTGAATCTGCTGGTAACTGTGTGTGCCTTCTGCCAATTCACGGGAACTTCGCTCCAACACAATATCCTTCCAGGCGCTGTAGAGCAGAGCTCCCACCAGGTCAGTATGACCTGGCAAGATTTATTATTTACGAGTCCTGTTGTGAATACCATATTTCTGACCCCAGAATAATAGAACTTTACACCACAGAAGGAGGCTATTTACCCTTTATTTCTGTGTTCTAACTCACTGGTTGTATATTCTCCAATTGAATTTCCCTGCTTTTCCTATGTCACTTAAAATTTTTCCTGCTGCATTTAAATTCTTTAAATCCCCTTTAAATTCTGTTTTGATCGCAGCCTTAACAACAGTTTGTGGTAAAGAATTCCACATTCTAACCCTTCTGCGTAAGAAAAAAAATCCTTCTAATCTCCTTTTTTCTTCTTGTGATAATGTATGATCTCTTAATACTGATTCACCGATCAGTTGAAATTGACTTTCTATATTTATCCTTTCGATCATACCAAAACCATTCATAATGCTGAGTTGCTTTACAGTTAAGCAGGTTGCAATGTTTGCTGCTACTCTTAGTTAAATCTTTAGTTGCCAAGGTGCCTACCAGGGTCATTCAGTCAGCTCGTTGCAGTGTTCTGTTTTCATACACTCTGGGCTGCAAATAATACTGCAGCTATGATCAATGTGTTCACATGGCTTTCATCCAGAAGCAATGCATTATCATTTCGGATTATCTCCACACTACAGTATAGTCCTCTCCAACAGTACAATGTGTTTGAGTTTATCGTATTTCTGTGTGTGTGTGTGGGTGGGGGTTGGAGAGACCTTGCCTAACCCTTACCTAGATTGAAATAATTATGCACAGATGTACAAGGCATATATGATGCTGTTTCTGGTAAACTCACTGGATGGAGTTCTGCTGTTTAAGTAAGAAGAGAAGGAACATGCTCAGTTTGTTCATATATGAAACACATGTTCAGTGTTAAAGATGGCAAATGCGAACAGTGAATCGTTTATTACCTTTTCCATATGACACATTACTCAAGTGAAAGGAAAAAGTGGTAGCTGAGAAACAAATATCCAGAATGATTTAAATGGGGTCGACATGGGAAGGTTGAGAAGATGATCCACAAGATGAGCCTTAACCCCATTAAAAGAGGGAAGGAGGTAGATCCTGTGTAATCAAGGGCAGAGAATAACATATGACTGCCATCGCAGTCACTCACCATTTTACTAGCTGTCACCAGTACCATGCTAACATGCTGCTATAACTTATCAGGAGATTTTTCATGTCCAAGTTTGAAGCTATAGTGAGAATTCAATGGGAATTATTGGGGATTCAATGGGAATCAAGCGAGATTAGCTGGGTTCGATTCCCAGGCAGAGCAAAACGTTAGGCAATTTCCTTACTTCACACGCCTCTGTTTACCTAGTAGGAAACCGGTTGTTAGTTGATTGGTGGATTGCTTTTCCGGGAGTAATAAGCCCTTAAAAAAAAATTTGGTCCATCAATCCACGGCTGTTTGTGGGATACTGCTGTGTGCAATTGGTATTGTTTTTTGGCCACAAAATCTAATCAATTCGCTTTACAGTATATTCTGTGAAGTGGTTTGAGATGTCTCAAAGACATGATCAGGTGCTATATCAAATGCAAGGAATATTATTATAATGAGCACTAAAAACTCCACTTAAAAATGACAAAGATTAAAGGCAATGTGATCAGGACTGATCAGTACACCAGATCACTATAACAACAGGCTTGTTTTACTAAACAGCACTGGAATTGTATTCCCCATCAGTTTTGGTGTAATCCTAAGTGACAAACAGAACATGCGTCCAAACAATGTTCTCACAAACAATTGTTCTCTGACCCAGTCAGTTGGTACAATCACAGAAATTACAGCATATGAGTATTTCCCTTTCTTTTCCCATGTCTTCTTATATTCTTCACCTTCACATATTTATCCATGCCGATAGATCAAGCCTCAACTGTATCTGCAGTGATGGCCCCATCAAGGTAATATTGTTAAGGGGCAGTATTGCTATTAGCAACCACAGCCTCAACTAACTCTATTTAAAGATGCATTTGGACACAAGCGGAGGGGTACACATTCTAAATTCATGCATTCATGCAATGGACTACGACAGAATTCATTTGGACCATGAAGAAGAACTTGTATCATTATAGAACTTATATTGAAACATCTCAAATGTGTTTCATAAGTGATTATTGCCTAATACATTTTGGTAGAAAAATAAACGAAGGGAGTACATATTCATAGAATCATAGAATATTACGCACAGAAGGAGGCCATTCGGCCAATCGTGCCTGTGCTGGCTCTTTGGAAGAGCTATCCAATCAGTCCCACTCCCCCACTCTTTCCCCATATCCTTGCATTTTTTTCCATTTCAAGTACCTATCCAATTTCCTTTTGAAAGTTGTTATTGAATCTGTTTCCATCATTTTCAAGCAGTGCATTCCAAACCTTAACTTTCTGTGTGTGTGTGTGTGTGTGTGTATGTAAAAAAAAAAGGCTTCATCTCCCTCCTGGTTCTTTTGCTAATTATCTTAAATCTATGTCCTCTGGTTACCAATCCACCTGCCAGTGGAAACAGTTTCTCCCTATCTACTCTATCAAACCGCCTCATAATTTTGAACACCTCTCTTAAATATCCCCTTAACCTTCTCTATTCTAAGAAGAACAATCCCAGTTTCTCTAGTCTCTCCACATAACTAAAGTCCCTCATCCCTGGTGCCATTCTCGTAAATCTCCTCTGCATCCTCTCCAAGCCTTGATATCCTTCCTCAAGTGTGGTGCCCAGAATTAGACAAAATACTGCAGCTGATGCCTAACCAGTGACTTATAAAGCATGAAGTTGAATGGTATAGCAAGGAGCTGAGAAGCAAAGGGATTTAGGAGTGCAGGTACACAGGCCATTGAAAGGAACAAAAGCTGCAAAGAAAGCTACTGGTATGCTGGGGCATAGAATACAAAAGTAAAGCAATAATGCTAAGTTTGTATTGTGGCTAGTTCTGGACACCTCACTTCAGGAAAGATGTTAAGGCATTAGAGGGGGTGCAGAAGAGGTTGAAGAGAATGAATCTGGAGATGAAGAGAGGTTGGGTGTCGGTATGGGGTTTGGGTGACAGATGCTTCTTCATTGGTCTCGCAATTCATAATTTTTCAATTAGCTGAACTTAAATATTACTTGTGCTATCATAGTGCTCCAAAGAACAAATCTCATCTAATTATCAGCCCAGATACACCATGTGGACGCAGCAGATATCAGTGTGGTGACCTTTGTCCCAGCGCCTTGGGACGTCCTCCCGACGTGAAAGGCGCTCAATAAATGGAATCTTGTTGTTGTTGTTGTTACTGGTTATTGAGCGAGTTCCAGGAATAAAGATTCCCATAGTCAATAAGTACTGAACACATTAGTGGTGTCTCGGAAGCCACCCTCAAATAACGTAAACATCAACAGATGAAAACAAAGTTTATTTATTAACTGTGCTCATCCAACAAGACGGACTGACTCGCTCTCCTTTATGTTGCTTTCCATCTTAGAACTCAGAAACACTTGTTAGATTCAGGGTTTGAGTCCAAGCATGCCTGACATCTGCAAGTGCACTTTCCGGATAGCATTCTCCTCTGGATAGCATTCCTAAGCAAGAACCCTCCCTAGGTTTGTACCCCATACCTTGCTCAGGGCTCTGAGGTCAGTTATTGCACTTTATCTGAGATCAGCTAACTCAGCACAGATCAGGAATTCAATCTGGGATCTTCCTGGCTTGCATGGCTCAGCAGTTTCCAATTGAACCATCTTTGATGCTGTATTTTTAGGAGATGATGCAGTTGTGACTATGACATTGATACTTCCAGTTGCCATCAGGATGTTCTGTTGTGACTAAATTATATTGTTTTGATATTTTGTATTAAAGTTTATGCAGTTATAATAATACTTGCATTTGCGCTTCACCGAACATACTATAAAGTGAATTATCTGAATACTCGTTTGTGGGTAAAATGTGGCTGCCAATTGTGGACAACTGTCTCCCACAAATAATCATAGATTGAGTGACCGCATTTTTTTTGAGGGATTATTAGCCCCGGAGAGCGATCCGCCAATCGACTAACGACTAATGGGAGGAAGTCTCAAAGCGCTTAAAATAATTTTTACTGTAAAGTGAAGTGATGGTACATTTTGCAGGTTACAGGCATGAGCTGTAGCATAGTTTGGGCTGGCTCAATTTGAATTTATTAAAACAATTGAGACTCTTACAAAACATATTAAGAACGCTTGTACTCGAAAGAAAGGCAACAGACTATGATATCTTCATTTCATCCATTTCCATCACACAGTAAAGGTAAACAAATATGCATTCTTATTGTGCACTTCCCAAAGTGTTTCACAGGTGATTGCTGTCACGTGTTGTGACTATTTTGTGCGCAAACACAGCAGTCATTTGAGCCAGAAAGTTCTTAAAACAGCCAGAAGGTGAGTAACAATTAATTTCACTGTCACTGCATTAATTCCTAGAATTGTCAGGGTAGTGGAATGTATCTAGACACACTAATGAAAATATGTGAACATTTGGCTATGCACTTGATCATATGGCTATTTAATTGATCATATGGTTATGACCTTAATCTGATAGCTAGAAACCATAATAACTTCACAGATTCCTGCATTGACGGTCTTGTGATTATGACCTGTTTGCCTTAGGCAAGGCTTAGCTATAACTGGCATTGTAACTAGACGAAGATTAAC